TGTTGAATCCCAGCCATAAGAAAAATAATTAATGGAAAACATGGGGTGTTGGGACATACAGAACTTTCCCTTCCAGCTGCTGGAGGATCCGTGGTGGGGAAGGAAAATTTGGTAACATGAAAATTGCCAATGAAAGTCATCATTCTGACTTTATTTGTAGTAACTGTCAACTTTTAATGTCAAGGTTCTCCCTGGCCTTGTTGCATATTAAAGTAGTCCAAACGTAAGGAAAAACAGAAATTATCATCTTTTTTCTCTTAAGAGTACTAAGTCTTTACACTATTGATGCCAAAAGATTTGCTAATTTATTCGTTTACCTGCTTGTCCTGGACAAGAGTCAGCCGGTGGAAATGTTGACTTGACAGATGAAGACAACTGGAGTTGATGTAACACAACTGTGAGTCGGATATGGGACTGAGTTGCGTTGACTTTAGGACATCATGTTAGTAGACCTTAGTTTACGGGGCAAACACTTAGTAGCTACTATGTGCCATGCCAGGCATCAAGCTTTTTTTTTTTTTTTAATGAGGTTAGGATGCTTTTCATGTTTCTATGGGCAGTTAAAATCGTGGAAACCATTAAACCCACTGCCATTGAATGCGTTCTGATTCATAGTAACCCTTTAGACCAAAACAGAGAACCGCCCGGTGGGGTTCCAGGTTGTCAGTCTCCACAGAAGCGGACAGTCTCAGCTCTCCCCTGCAGCGCTGCTGGTCAGTTTGGACTGCCAACTTTTAAGTGAGCAGGCAAGCACTTTAACCGCCGCTCCACCAGGGCTCCTGTGACATCATGGGGAAGGAAAGAGTCCAAGCTTGGCTGCTTACATAACTCTGACATTTAAATCCTCAATTTGCTCATCTATAAAATTTGTTCATCAATAACAATACCTACTTCACAGACTTTCAAAGATTAAATGAGGTAATAAGCAAGTGTTTTGTATAGAGCACTAGCCACAGTTAAATAATATTATTAGCCCAAGGAGGTAATTATCAAAAGGTCTGGCTATGTGGTTTTTGCATAGATTCATACAGCTGTGAACTAGATTTTAAAATTCTAAAAGCTTGATTTCAGTAACAGTATAAGAAACCTCACCTTGACCATATTTTGACCATCTTCTTGAACATGTATGTGTGTTGAAAATTCATTAATATTTATAGTGCTAAGTAAACTCCGATCTTGAACTATTTATTTTTCAGTCATTTAACTCGTTGAAATGTAATAGCAAATAATTTGTTGCAGAAGGCATTAAATAGGGCTCTGTACTCACAGTGATTGTAACTTTCATGCTTGCCTTCTTCAATAATCCATAGCAGATGTGGAAAGTCATGGTTTGTCCACCCCACCCCCAATGTCCAGGGCAACATATGGCCCCGAGTCAGATTACACTCTCTCCATGACAGAGTATCCAGGAATAAGAGAGACCAAGTTTGCTGTTACTTTAATTCCGCCAGATTATTCAGTACACATCAGGCACATTTTTTTTAATATATAAGAAAATTGACATCCTGAAGGTGAATAAAATGCTCCCAAATTTAAAAAATAGATATATTTTTAATATATTCCAAGGTAACTAACAAGTATGCATTTAAATGAAAATTTCAATTACTTTGGATGTGAGTACCTTCTGGTAAAATTTCTAGACAGCATGCATACGCATTAATTGACTGGGAAACCAATGCGCTCTGTAAACGTCCACCCCAGTCATAATTGAAAGTGGAACAATATACACTACAGCCTGTGGACACTGTGGGGCTTCTCTACTCTGTCTTAAAGGGTTGCCATGAGTCAGATTGACTCAAAAGTGATGGGTGGGGTGGAGGGTGCCCGGTGTCTCCCTCTGCTTTCTAGGGAGAGCTGGTCTGCATTATGTAACTTTGGCAGGTTCTCAGTTACTAAACAATAAAAAGGGTAATATCTATTTTATACGACCATTGTCAGGCTCAATGGAAATAAAAACAGAATGTAAAAGAGCCCAGCACTGAGGTGGGCTGTCAAAAGTAGAGGCGTGGATTCCTGCTCTATAGCAGTCATTCTGAACACGGTGAGGGGAGTGGTGGGGATTCGTTCGTACTTCTGGAACATATCTACATGCTAAGAGCATCTGAGGCGTTTTGTGACTGTTATCTCACATAATCTTCACAATTACCCTAAATAATTCCATATCCTCCCAATTTGTTAAGGCTTGCCTAAAGCAGCATAGTGAGTGGCCGAGTGGTCCACCTTTCTGCTAAGTCTCTACTACAAAGTCTCAACTAAAATGGGAGAGAATTTCTCCGGGGGGTGGGGGGGGTGGGGGCGAGAAATGATGGTGAGTAAGTAAAAAACACAAACAAAAAGAAACTTAATCACACACACACAAAAATCACAACCAAACTCCCTGTCATCAAGACAATTCCGAGTCCTAGCGAACCTACAGCAGACCCAGGAGCGAGCTGTACTTGCATCAGGGCGACTATGGTACTGGCGGTACAGAGCAGGCTTTGGAGTTTGATTAGAAATGTGACCATCATCAACAAATCATGTCATCTTCCAAAAGAAGTTTGCATAGAATTTATGAATGTAAGACAGTAACTATCCAATTAGAAACCAGCTGTGCAACAGTCATAAGAATTTTTATTATATCATTAGTATTTTTAAAATATCTGGCCACGGTTTTACTAAGGATAAGCAAATTCAAGCATTGCTAATTTCGATAACTAAAGTGGAAGAGAGTGAAGACACTGCTGAACCTACGGACCTAGTCCTGCCCGGTTCATGGCTTAGCTTTGGTATACGTGCATGTTTATTGAGCATCAATTATGCCAAATCACTACACAGAAACTAAATATACAAAAAGAAGATGACGACGATGACAACAAACATAAGGAGCTAGAATCATTTGTGGCTTTCATGGTATACCAAAACATTTCCGCACTTAGAATTGTTCCGACTCTACAGGAGAAAGATGTGGCAGCTTGCTTCTGTACGGATCACAGCATTGGAAGCCCCTGGAGGAAACCATACAGCGTTGCTAAGAATCAGAACTGCATATGCAATGGACATGTTATGAAAGAGTTGGTGGTACTTTGCTGATGGAGATACCAATTGCTTTCAATCTCACGCAGCCCGCTCTTGCTCCTATACCCGAGTCAAAAAGAAAGTGTTGTTGTAGGTGCCATTGAGTCCGTTCTGGCCAACGTGACCCTACGCACAACAGAAAGAAACTCCGCCTGTCCTGCGCCGTCCTCACGGTTGTTCCCATTCTTGAATTCATTGCTGCAGCCGCGTGCCAGTCCACCTTGCTGAGGGTCTTTTTCTCTTTCGCTGCCCCTCTACTTTACCAAGCATGACTGGTCTCTACTGACAACATGCCCAACGTATTTTAGATGAAGCTTTGTCATCCTTGCCTCTTGGGAGCACTCTGGCTGTACCTCGCCTAAGACAGATGTGTTGCCCTATTGGAAGTCCACGGTATCGTCAATATTCTTCGCCAGCACCACAATTCAAAGAATCAGTTCTTCTTTGGTCTTCCTTATTCAATGTCCAACTTTCACAGGCAAGGAGAAAAAGGGGCTGCAGAGAAGCATTATGGCCTGCTCTTCTCCCCTTGAAACTAACTTGATCAAGGGTCGTAGTTTCATAAGACATTTCTGTCACTTGGCTTACTAACACCTTTAGTGTTTCTGCTTTACCTCCTAGTTTACTGCCTAGTGCCTGGGGTTCTTAAGAGCTGCCAAACAGCCACCCATGGCACAACAATTAATCTCTCTTAGCTTAGAGCTGCAGAGGATAAACCAGAGCCAGGATGAGAAGGAAGATATAGAATGTGAGGCAAACTGCTTCCACGAACCACTGCCTCCTTTGCCATGAAACCAGCACAGCGTGGATGGTGCCCAGCTACCATTGTGAAACATTCTGATCAAAGATGCTACTGAAAAAACCAAGATCAAAAGGAGAGAAACGCGGAACAGATTTCAAAAACCCCAAAACCCCAGGCTTTCTGGAGCAATGGGCGCTGGATGAAGGCACTCAACTATTGCACTGAGATCATCTTTGAACCTTGAGCCAAAAATATCACTGAAGCTTTTATAAAACCAAAGAACAATTTAGCTTAAACGGCAAAGACTATCTGCTTTGAGCATTGTGCTCTCTTACGCTCTGCCTACATGAGCTCAAACTGACAACAGCAGCTCAGCAGACTCCACGGGACCCTTCTGAAGCAGAGCATTAACTGGACAGGTGGGAGGAGCCACTCGGACAAGCAGGGTGAGAAGAAAACACCCCAGGGCCCTGACTTGTACATAGAGAAATTGGTGAGTGGGGTACGTTTTGCTGTGTATAGTCTCAACAACAACAAAAGCAAAAGAAAATAAATTAATGGTTTTTTTTAAACACCAAAGAGAGACTGAGGGTCCTCCCATCTGGCATCCCCAAGTTCACCCTTTTAAAGCCATAACAGCAGCAGCTAGAGGTAGCTACCCGTGTAGTAGGCCGTCTGAAAATTATGGCTAAATGCCAGACAGCAAAATTTTCTGGAAGCGACCATATAGTAACTTAAAGATAACCCAATATTCACGTGGCAAAGATGGGATGTCTTTTTTCTGGGATCAGGGGGGGTGTTATAGGCTGAACCAGTCAGAAGAGAGGGCATTCTCTTAATTCTCCAAGAGAATTTACATGATTAATTAATGACCATTTTAGGAAACCTGTTTAGGAAACAGGTATGAAACTCACCTTTGCATGATTGCTCTTGTAAAAACAGCACACCATCATTTTGCTTGTTGATGGCTTTCTTGCCAGCACATCAGAGCTTAGAAGTTTGTCTCTACTGATACCACACACGTAAACGGAAGGAAATGAGGCTTTCACACGAGTGGAACAGGTTCTACGGCAGCCGGCTAAAAGAAGCGAGGAGAGGGGCCATTTGTTCCTCACTGGGGATCATGCTGCCCTTTGGGTAATGAGAATGTACATTTGGTTCAGAGTTTAAACTAACCTCTACCCTCACAGCCACACATTCCTTTCACAAGATCTAGTTTACTGAGCATTAAGAAGCACAAACTCTGTGAGTGAATTGCTGACCAGCACCAGTACATAGGCCTGGTAATTTCATCCAGCTTGGATGTGAGCGCACACACACACGTTAAAAAACTTCCACATTTCACTGTCTTACACACTATAGCACTTTACAGAGCTCCATTCCTTTAAAATCACTCCCCGTCTCAAATGCATACAGACATTGTTTTCCTGGTAAATGCACAAGTCAAATTTATTTATTTTTTTTAAAGACTCACACCAATGGTTTGGTTTAAAGGGAAGCAAATTAAACGGCGCTCTGCTGCTAACAGCAGATGGCTAGGTATAATTCATTTCCCTCATGCTGGATAGTAGATTCAGGAACAAAGCAAGTGCATTGCCAAAAAGCAAAACCCCGAAGAGCTTCTGCTAAACCCAACAGCGACGGTTCAGTTGTGCCTCTCAGTCGGGCAAAACGTGCTTTCCACGGGTCTGAATGCTATTCATTTGGCTTCCTGCCAATCTTGCAAATAAATCATCTTGTGTGTCATTTTCTCGTAAATGCTTCCTGGTGCCTGATTGCTCTGGCTGTGTGGCCTTTGCTTCCAAGCTGCCTCACCCTCCGAGGGAGGAGAAGGCCCAGAGGCAGAGGAAAAGGAAGCTGTGATTAGATCCGCAGAGCAAGTTTTACAGCCTATCTAGTTCTCTGGGTTTATCAGAAATGTCTGCATCCAATATTGCATTCCCAATCTGAGTGCAGAACAGTAAATAACATCTGGGAACGCCAGCAAAGAGGCCCTGTGATCAACATGTTTAATTTATTCTTATTAGTATTGCAAAAGAGCCGTTTTCCCATGACTAGCAAAATAGAAAATATATAATTCTTTTAAGGTTCTTTTGCTGCCAGACCACAGAAAGTGGTTAGGGGAAGGAAAAGCAGGAAAGGAGAGCCAGAAGTAGTATAAGTTACCACATGATTTTTTGTAGGAAACAATGGAATATGACGTGCAATCGTGCAATTCTCCTTTGCTAGTCCAGCAAAGCCAGTCTCCGCCGGCAGTCCACTGGTCGTACATTGTCGCATTTCGGAGCTCAGTTGCGTGCCTGCCGAGGGTTCGAGTTCCTGCCAGACTTCTGAGCCGTCGTGGCGTCACTGTGGCCGGCGTCACTTTTACTCAGTCCAAGATGACGGAGCTTCAAGTCCCAGCGCTGTGAGATTTAAAACAGACCATGTTCACATGCAACATCACCAGGCACGTCAAGTCTGCGTTGTCGTAACAACTGAGTAAGGCTGCAAAGTCCGATGGCTCGAACAATGGGCTACTGGTCCTAAAGGATGAGGTCCATGTCCCGAGGCAACACTAAGCCCGGGGGAGATGAGCGTAGCGCTCTGAATGAAGTTCAGTATCACAAAGTGAAGTCGCCGCCCATCGGACAGCTGGGAACGTTTTCCTGGGAGGCCACCATCTGCAACTGGGGTGCGCGTGTCTACTAATGCCTGTGACATTTCCCCGGATGACGCGGGCCTGCCTGGGAAAGGTACTCGGAGAAGGAAGGGTTAGTCCTCATCTTCTTTGCAGACACATAAGAACATAGCCTTTTAGGGCCCGTGTGCATTGAGCGGTTTCAGAAAAGAGATTTGGGGTATAATGGGGATCTCTTGAAAATATGTTTCTATGCAACATCTCCCAAGGACAACAAACTTATCAGATATGGTCCTACCCTCAATTCTGATTTCATAAAGAAGCCATTACGGGCATTGATTGACAGCCATGATAACATTTACTGATATTTTGTATTTACAAGGCTCAGAGTGTTTACGTGCAATAATAGATTACATTGAAGGTGGTTCAAACCCACCAGTCGCTGGTCAGGAGAAAGCTGACGCTGTCTTCTCCTGCCGGAGTTCCTGTCTGGGCAGCCCTATACGGTGCTATGAATAGTTCGAATCAACTCAGTGGCAGTGAGCCTGCTTTACAGGTACTGAATTAGCACACCACCACAGCAGTTCTTCTCGAACGGCAGCGGACACAGAAATCACCTGGGGATCTTGTTAAAATGCAGATGCCCAAGATTTTTCTTGCTAACAAGCTCACAGGTGATGCTGATGTTGCTAGGTGGGGGACCACATTAGCTGACATCAGATGGCTCAAGTTGAAATTCTAGCTTTACCTCTCATCATGAGAAGTTTCGCAAACTCACTCATTCTTATTTTTATCATTCATAACAATGTAATTAATAAAAGAAGAGACTTATAAGACTGGTCTGAAGATTAACTGATGAAAGTGTACCAAGTGTTTTAAAAACAACAACAAACAAACATGGCTGCTCGCTATTCAATCCTGGAGGACAGAATAAAACAACTCCCCTCTGGGTTTCTGAGATTCAGTCATTACGGGGGTGGGGGTGGGGGTGGTGTTTGACAGGCTTATCTTTCAAACAGCTGATCTTGTGGTTAGTAGCTCAGTGCCAGCTCACTGCACCTCCAGAGCACGTACTAAATAGTCACGATTGTTAGGATTTTTCTATTCATGAAAGTAGCTATTTTTCCTTCATTTCCTTCACTTTGCTGCAATTTAAATTTTATTGTCTTTAATTCCTGTAAAGGTTATACAGTGTGATTGTCATCTCCCCAAGGCATACCAAATATTTTAACTTGAATAATCTAACTTTAACATGACTTAGGCAGAGTCATTTACATTTTTTAAATCATTTTATTGGGGGCTCCTACAGCTCTTATCACAATCCTTCCATCCATCCATTGTGTCAAGCACATTTGTGCATGTGTCGCCATCATCATTTTCAAAACAGTTCCTTTCTACTTGAGCCCTTGGTATCAGTTCCTCATTTTCCCCTCCCTCTCCCACCATTAAGTCTTTTGAAAATGTTTGATCCACTGAGAGCAAACATCTGTTTAAAAGGACAATATTGATTTTTAAAAGACAATGCTAATAGCCTCCAAAAATGCTGTCTTACATCCTCCAACTGACTGGACCGCAACTACAGGGCTAGATCTGAACCAGTCTAGCCAATTCTCAATCCTTCTAAGCCCTTTGGCCCCAAGTATCTGGATAAGAAATAAAAATTGTTCAAGATATTGGTTCGTTTCCTCCCTGTAGCATGCATTGCTAGATCCAGACATAAAATAAATGACCTCACATAAAGACGTTGTGAATTTCCTGTAGAATAAGGTGACCAGATTTTAACATTGGTAAAGCGGGACACCATTGATAAAACTCATATCCTGGTGAAAGAGCCACATGGCAGCTGAAAACCGTATACCCTAGCTTGTCATGCATTCTTTCCAAAAATCGGGACTTTTTAAAAATGCTGCGGGACATGGAAAAAAATTGCTAAAAATCAAGACTAGCCCGCCAAAAGCGGGACGTCTGGTCACTTTACTGTAGAAGGCAGTGGGAAATATGTTCCCCTCACTCAGAAGCTGGACAAACACCTCATGCGCCCTGGGTCTTTACACGATGATCTTGTTTGGGTACCGAAAGAGCAGCAGTGAACTTTGTTACATGCTTTGCAGCAGGGAGGTTGAAAGCTCTTCCAACTGGTACAGGAATTTAGGACAAATTCCTGTTCTGCATTAGCAAGCAGAAAACCAAATTAAAAGGACAGTAAGAGATTCCAACACGCTGAAGAGCCCCTCTTTCTTTAACAAACAGCACCCCTATTGAGAGAAATACAAACAGAACTCCCAGAAGTTGGAACTTGAAATGCATCTCTCACTTTTGACAAACACACTGGGGGTGGGGGTTAAAGCGCTTGCGGGAGGGTGATTGGTTTCTCCATGAAAAATAATTCTCCCTACATTTCTGTCACTTAAATCCCAATGTGTCTGCTGTGTCAAGTGCCAGATGTAGAAGATAAACTGCCTGGGGTGTTTAACCCACCCTGCAAATGTCTCCCAAGCCTCCAGCTTGCAGGAAGAAGAGGATGGATTATGTTTGGTGAGCTCTCATTCCCCGCTCACACTTAACATTTTAGATTCTTTGTCCCTCTCCATGGACACCCCACATTCTTTGAAGCAGATTTGCTTAGGGCAGTGAGGAGAAATAAAGCTTTCCATAGTAGTTTCCAGTGTGGCTTCTAAAAGTGTATTGATTCTGGCTCTAAGAGTCACGGACTGAAAAATACAGCTACCTTACAGCTGAAGGGTCTAAGTAGGTCTGCTCTCTTAGATACAGACGGATGCAAATGATGTCTATGTGTTTGGAGAGACACTGGCATTTTCCGACCCATCATTCACCCTCCTGTCCTTCGATCAGAGTCCTTGCCTGTACAAATCGTGAATGTGCTTGGCGGCCAGCCAAAAGAATGGCGGTGCAAGTCCAGGGGACCCTTAGGTCTCTGATCGCCATGCTGAGCAATCCATGCTTTAAACGAAGCACACATCAGAGATAAACTCAATCCTTAAGAGTTTTAGATATCGGTGGGGGCTTCAGAAAACGCATGGGAAAATGGAATGAAAAGATCATGGGATTTTCCCACAACCTTTTTGAAGCCCCATCATATTTACCCCAGGTGTGGGCATTTCTCAGGAGTTCAGGACAACTACCTAACCTAAGTGACAGACAGCTCGTTTTCGACTTTATCTGTGCTACTTTGCATGTAACATAGAGGCTTACCTTAATTTTCTTACCAAGGCGATCCTTCCATTTCTCAGCTATGGACCCTTCCACCAAGAGTAACCTGGATATTGAAAAAGAAGCAATCCGTTTTGAAAGTTGAGACACAACACAGATAAATGCAGGGGGCGTAATCTGGAGTGGGAGAGCAACATTTTAGAATAGGGACCCATAACCTTTTGGAAGTCATGGACCCCTTTTGAGAATCAAATAAAAGCTATACATCCTCGCTCCTATGGAAGGTGGGAGGAGGGGGGTAGGAATGCATACCCATAATTTTAGTGCCTATGTACACGTTTGCATCCAATATGTAAAATCGTGGGACCCAACAACAACCCTCCGTGATGCCCTGGGGGGTACACCGACCCCCAGGGCTGGGTCTTAGAGGGAGGTGCAAGCAGGGTGGGAGAGGCGAGCATGTTTCTGAGTCCTTAGGCATGAGTCACCTGGAGCGCTCCTCGTCTTCATAGCCCATGATGACGTACTCCTCGTTAACATGCAGTGGGGGGCACAGGCAGCCAGAACTGGTATAAAGATTCACGGTGTCCCTTGGGATGTTGACCAGAGAAGCCTTCAGAACCTCCTTGACTTCAACAACTGCCGTCACATCGTGGCACTTGGTCTTTACCTCTTTAACTTTAGCCCGAATGACTGAGATGAAAAGACAATAAAGCTGATATGGTAATATGATCCACAATAGGCTCTCCATTTGAAAATAAAATAGACAAGTAGGCTTCTTTCTTGTCCGTTTTCAAACATTTGCTATCCAATAACGGATGGGCAAAGTCATCCAGGTATGTTTTTACCTTAAACACCAAAAATGCTGACTTGGATAGATCCGACCTTAGCCTAGTGAGTGGAAAACGAAAACACACAGCTGGCCCCTTACTTCCCAGTCCCATCCCTTCCAATGGTGTGTATGTTTGTTTGGTATATGGGCATATGCGGGCATGTGTCTCCTTGTGAAAATTATACTTAAATACGCAAAAGCTAACTGAATAGGCTGATATAATTTTCCTGCAACTGCAGTTGTTGCTTACAGGAATATAAACTGTGCTAACATCGACAGAGATCAAGACTTAGTACTTGAATATGCTTTGTTTTGTTGCCAGACCAAACTAATCCAAATCCACTGCCATTAAGTCAATTCCAATTGACGGCTACCCTCTAGGGCAGACCAGCACTGCTCCCAGGGATTTCTTTATTGGAGCAGGCAGCCTCATCTTTCTCTCTCGCAGTGGCTGGTAAGTTTGAACCACTCACTCTCCTGTTAGAAGGCTAGGGCTTAACTCATCTGCCATCGTGCTTCCCATCATGATATTATCCGTCTGCTAGAAAGTTTTCTAAAGAGATGGGGTGAGGGAGACTCTTTAGAGGGATGAAGCTGCCCAATTTCTAGCATTCTCAAATTACTCTGTGATCGTTTCAGCTCCCCTGTGCTGGCTCATAGTCCAGACGTCGGCTGCATAGTTCCTTTGTTTCAGTCGACATTGCTTTATGTGTTTTGATTTCTCAGTGGACAAGCAGAAATATGACAACAAAGAAAAACCAACATAATTTGGAAGTAAACATTTATTTTCAGATTTTTTTCTTATAAATAATCTTCTGAGTGCCTGTTTTCCCCCAAAGAATTTGAAGGCAAGTAAACTCCATAAACGATGAGCAATGTGGGCATCATTTGGATACGAGAAAGCTATCACCTGCTCCTTTCCACCTAGTGTGACCTGTATGCTATAATTTGACAATATTCAGTCATCTGCTTTCTTTCCATGGCAGAGACCACTAGTATTTTAACTTTGACCAACTAGCTCAGCACCAACCTTCGCAACACGAAAGAAGGCGGATAAAGTAAAAATCAATGAGCAAACACACTTAAAATAAGTACTAGCAAACGTCTACTCATTTATTTTCATATTTGTGCTTTCCCATGTAGTATAACTATGCTAAAAATTCACATAGCATTTTTCAATCTTAGAAACCTAAACTTCAAAATATTAAGACCCTTAAAGGTTTTCATATCAATTTGCAAAGAGCAAGCAGCAGACACACAGCCAAGTCAGACAAGCAGACAGACATTTGGATTCTTAAATAAACATAACCTTCCCACCTAGGAAACTCCATCCACCACTGACTAAGAGAAAAGAGACTGCTCTTAAAATGAGTAGTAAGCAAAATAATAATAATGCCATTGAAGGAAAACGGGGAAATTGGTACATTTTAAAAGTTGCTTTAAAAGAGGCTTAACTACAGTGGGAATTTTCTACTTTATACTTTTTAATACATAAGACCAGAGGTTACTCTTTACCAAGTTTTACTCAATTTTCTCAATTTCCATGAAGTATAAAAGTAAAACTAGATCTTCTCTATATGTCCAACATTCTCTAAAACAGGATCCACAAATGTCATACTTAAATACATGTTACTAATTAAAAATTCACATTAAAATATATTTAATTGCTATGTTTCTGCACTGGCTCAGCATCATGAGTCTTCAACAGATACACTAATAGGATCTTTATTAATCTTGTACATAATAGAAAAACAGTAATAAAATACCTATGGAATATAGTAAATATTAATTTCTCCTCATTTACCACCTGGAAACTCTAGTAATCTACTCTTCTAAATATGACAGTAATTAATATTTGTGACTCAAAAGCACTCCAGTGTCCAAAAGTGCATACTTCATAATGAAAGGAAGGACAGCTTTTGCTCAATAATCATTCATGCAATCAGAAGAATAAAACACTGCCAGGGTGTCGTTTAGAATATTAAATGAGATAATACGCAGAAACCGCCAAGCACAGTCCCCGGCACACACTCAACATCTGTTTCCTCCTACAGCTGAATTGATGGCCACATTGTGATTGTAAGATACTCCATCAATATTTAGCTTGTCAGAATGTCACATGTCTAGACTTAACTAATGAAATGTGTCCTTGATAGAATGGTAACACCTTCTTTTAAGTTACTTTCTAGCTCTACCAATGTTTTCCATACTGACAGAAAAAAAAAAGTTTGATTTGCTTACACATGCCTTATGAGTATCAAAATACACTTGCGTTCCCCTTAATGTAGCTGAAGTTAATGAAACACCAAACGTGTGAGCTCAAACTCTCCTCCGCATCAAGACAGAGAACGACCCAAAAGCCAAACTCACTACCATCAATTCTACTCAGCAGCCTTATAGGCGAGGGGAGAAAACCTCAATCGTTGCCATCGATTCTCTTCAGGGGCCTCATAGGACCAGGCAGACCTGCCCCTGTGAATTTCTGAAGCTGTAAATCTTTGAGAGCAGAAAACCTACCAAGAGATCGAGTCCCACCTATTTTGAAATTCATCCCTATGATGGCCCTAAGGTACCATCGCTGAATGCTGCCTAAAGGCTTTCAAGTTTTGGAATGATGCCCACAACTACTTCACAACTAAAAACATTGGAGCCAGTTCACATCGACCAAGGCACCGTAAAGAAAGAGCTGTCAGGCTACTGCTACAACTCAGCCACTGAAAAGCCTATGGCGCTCCTCTTTCCCACAGCTCCTGGAAAGGGGCGACATGGAGCTTCAAGGAGGAGAAACTCAGTGGACAGCAACTGATCTTACATCAAGTGATCGAAGCCAACATTACCAACAGACATCACATGACTTACAGTGAGTCACTAACATCATTCCTCACCAAGAAAGCATGACTTGAGTCTAATTGTGAAGGAATAGGCAGATATATACTGAAAAATGGTCTACAAAACTGGTCTAGCTTCAAGAATGTCAAGTTCATAAAAAACAAAGGCAGGCCAAGGATCTGCTTCAGATGAAAGGAGGTTAAAGAGACATGACAGCTAAGCAGCAGACTCTGCATCCAGGATTTGGGGGAGGAGAAGAGGCTCTGCAGGACATGACAGTGACTTGTTAATACTCGAACATGGATCCCACATTAGATGTTAGACTGTGTCAATATTGAATATTATGAATGTGATATATTTATACACACACACATAAAAGGTGATGTTAAAAACAAAAAAGATTGAGACAGTTCACCTTTGACACACATGCGGCCATTATAAGTTAGAATGAACTTGATGATAACCAGTTCAATATGCTTTAAAATCAAACCTTTGTTAAGATTTTTATCCACATGAGACACACTTGAATCATTTTGGATAGGGGGAGCGTCTTCATAGTTACATATTTGTGTTGCTTTTAAGCTTTATTTTCAAACTGCTCTATTCATTTATGCAAAACCACAAACATACACACCCTTCTTAACACAGCAGTTTCTAGGTCTACATGATATCCTTACCATAATTGTAATTGTTCCGGAAATAGGTCTTCTGAGTAGCTCTGATTGGCTTACATTTGCAGCGTTCTGAAAAATAAAATAGTTTAGCTATTAACAAAATTTTGATATTAGCTTCCTTTTTAAAAAATTCACATTTGGTGCTTGCTTCAGCAGCATGCATACTAAAATTGGAATGATACAGAGAAGACTAGTCTGACCCCTGCACAAGGATGATACACAAATTTGTGACATGTTCCATATTAAAAAATAAAAATCACATTTGTTTGGTAAGGCTAGACCTGAATCTGGCAGCAAGTAGATTCGTAAGCAATTCTATGTGCCTAATCTCTTTCTCTTGGGACTATGTCAGGTGGCTATGAATGGGAATCAACTCAAAGCGCATGGGCTTGGTTTTACACAGCCTCTTGTTCCATAGGAACATGTTCATAATGTCCCGCCTTTGACAAAATACCCATATTCTCTTCATCAGTGTCATGGATTGAACGTTTATCTCTAGTAACACCTACACTCCACAAGTTTGACAGGGCATACAGCACTGCTGTAATTGTTAGCTCGGGAATCCGAAACACTCAGAGAAATAGGTATTATTACCACCCTCGTGTACTGCTGACTCCGAGGCACTAAATGGCCCCTTTAAGACAGTAGGAGATCATTAAAGGAATTCAATCCTCCTTTCTCAGATTTGAAATCCAGTGAGAGTAAGGGAGGTTTTAAGAAGAAGAGTTTAAAGCCCCTTTTATGGGTAGAATAGCTGCTATTTTACTCAGTGATATTTTTGTGCTTATTTGAAGGAAATTACTATGTACATATTTTAGAAGAAGTTCCATGTTTCTAAAACATTTGGTGAATGATAGCCAGAAAACATTTTCTACGTATCATAGGTAGATGCAATACAAGCTCTAATTATCTCAAAATATTACATAGATAGTGTAGATCAAAGGTCAGCAAACTGCAGCTCACAAGTCAGAAGGGGCTTTTTCAGTCCAAATATGCAGCTCTGAAATAAAGTGGAGGGGTTTTGAAGGCTATTATTTAGATAATGGTGACTTCATTTGTTTGTAAATATATATTTATGGCTAGCTATTGAATATATTTTAAATTGCTGTGAAGGACAGGATTGGCTCTTCTGTCTCAAAAGATTGCTGAACCCTGTTATAGATCATGTAAGCATCTTAGAAAATTGATTATTATACCTTTTGCACTGCCAAGGCTACTTAGCTAAGAAATAGACATAGTAATCCTCTTGAATGGTTAGTAATTATAGTCATTTTGGAACTATAAAATACACAATTACCTTAGGAATCACTTTATTGTATGCAAAGACTTATTTAATATCTTTGAAAAAGCTCAATTAAACAAGAAATGGCATGAATTTCTTCTATTTTGATACACATGCTGGCGCGCGCGCACGCACACGCACACGCGCGCACACACACACACACACACACACACACACACACACACACAAGAATACATGAGCCAGAAAAAAGCCAACAGGAAAAAAATGTTTAAATTTACATTTAGCTTTACATTTAGCATGGAGACCAACAAAGACGGGAGTTTATGCCAGCCACTTGATAGGGTGTTTTCTAATCAAAATCCATTTTACTTCCATGGGAACTTGCAGTAATATGATGCACACAATGTGATGGAAGTAGCAGCCTCGGGGAGTCCTCGCTCCTTCCTGTCGCCTCGGTTGTCGCGATAAGCGCCTCCTCTTGGGACGGCGCCGTCCACCAGCAGCAGCAGCCCCCCCCTCCCCGAGAGACGGGCCAATATCTCCACAGCCCGCACCACTCTTCCTCCCTCGCTTGTTCCACAGATAATTTTTAACAAAGCATTCCAGTGGGGTAAAGTTCTCCACCTAAAGCCAGTATGTAATATCTGTGTGGATTAAGTTGGAGAGTGGAAACAAGACATCGTGATGTGGTGGTAGAATTCTCACTGTCCATGTGGGAGGCCCAGGCAAGCCCCCCATGCGCACCCACCACCCTTTGCCAAGGGAGCCTTTTGTGTGGTTCCGATGATGAGCTGGAGTGGGCGGGCAGACCTGGGGCTCTACTTCCAAACCTCCGCCAATGAAAGCAGGCCGGGGAGCACTGCCGTCCACCACACAGCTCCTCGTGTGGACGGCAGGACAACACTTGTGCTCGGTGTCACCATGGGATGGTGGCTGACGCAAGCGCAGTTAACGACAACCCAACCCAACTCCGCAACCACTTGTCCTGCAGACGAGAGGACAGGGAGACTTTCGCTGACTGAGTTCGGACACATCCTTAGAAATTCCAAGCCCTAGCAAAAGACATCACAGTTGGTAAAGAGGGACAACACAAACGACGGACTGGTCAACCAGAGAAACTGACAAAGCTTCCACAACAGCAGACTCAAACATGCCACAGGCCAGGACCTGTTGGGTTTTGTTCGACATCAGTCACCACGAATCAGAGCACATCTGATGCCCTGACTGTGCAGTGCTGACCACTGGGCTGGGATCCGCACAGCGGGCAGCTGAGTTTCCGACTCAGTCAACAATCAGTCTTGGAAACCCACCGGGGGCTCTCTCTGCGTCAGCATTGACTCAACGGCAGGGAATTTTGAGTCTTCAAACACTAGTTCAGTTCTCCAAAAATAACTAATTAATGAAATGTACATATTTCCATTTGAAAGAAACTAGGAAGTTATCATTTCCGTGCCTACCTATACAGATATATTATTGTGTACTGAAATGTTACACACGTTTTAAAGGCAAGGCAATTCTATGCCATTGAGTCGATTCTGGCTCAGAGTGTCCTCACAGGGCAAGGTAAAACTGCCCCAGTGATTTTCCAAGACTATAACTCTTAGTGGAAGTAGAAAGCTTTGCCTTTCTCTGAGGTGTCTCTGGTGGTTTCAAACTGCTGAACTTGCAGTTAGCAGCCCAATGCATAACCACCACCCCACCAGAACAAAGCGAGATATCTTACACTTAGACTACAGAACTGTTACTACTGCTACATACTAAAGTCTTCCATGTGCCATGAAAACGAATGGCTGGAGTAAAATGGATTCTCAGTTTAGAGAAGAGCAAAAGTCAAAGCACTAGTGGTGCATCTACTTTATCATTAGTCATCAAAATGACAAGAGGGATAGGTGCTACAGTGCAGTGAATTATTTAGTGTGACTCTTCTAGCCATAGTCTTTGTTACTCCCATCAAATGAGTTTCTTGCTAGGTCTGGGTAAAAGAAGGCAAGGGGAGACACTGATGGCACTCAGCTATGAGTGATTGTTAATAATATTAACTGTGATTGCCCTTCTGCTGGCTGAAGCATGATCTCACTCCCAGCAAGAGCCAGGAGTGGAGTGTGCCTTTTGGACCTCAATATCTCTGTACATTGAACCTCCTCATCCAAGAGATAGGGTTGACCCCAAAGGAGGAGCAGCAGCAGCACAATCAAGAACCAGAGCATTCAACAGAGCAGTGGACTTACCAGCCCACAGTGCAAATAAAGCTAAGTGCCTTAGCAAGAGACTGGCTTGTGGAGTAGGATGCCTTCAGGCACTTTATTGGGGGAGCTAGGTTTGCAGATCCACAAATCTAAGCCGAGTACTTTCTAGCTGAGGCTCATTGTGGAGGGACATGGACTGCAGCCATTTATTAACAGCCCTGAAAGAGCTGTGTAACATTGCATGAGCAGGCAAGAGCCGATGGGCAAGGTGACCAGATTTAAAGCAGGACACCACTGACCGGGGGTGGGTGGGTGGGGTTCTTGATTAAAAATTTGATCTATATGGACCAAATAGACCGTTCCCTAGCTTGTCGTGCATTCTTTCCAAAAATCGGGACTTTTTTAAAACGCCAAAAATTGGGACTGTCCCACCAAAAGTGGGACGTCTGGTCACCTTACCAATGGGTCATGTGGCTGAGAGGTCAAAGGCCAGAAAAAGATTAAGAGGCTGTCCTCTGAATAACTATATTCTGAAGATCGTAGCCTCTTAATAAACTCTGTAATCCTGAGTGTTGTCTATGAGTTCTATGTGGCCATTGCAATGAATTATTGACCCAGCTGAGCAGCAGACAGTGCCTGGGAAGGATGGTTGGAGGTTGAAGGCACACCTGACCTTAACCTTACAGAGATTTGCGTTGGGCAATGCTGATAGGGACTTTAGAGGAGGCTGGATGGCACATTCAAGTCAAACATCATTCACTTTCTCAGGTGCCTCTATAGAATTGTTCTGAGAGCTCTTACATGGAGGCTGGGCAAATCATTTGGTCTTCCAGAAGATCAGTTACACCACACTCCTAAAAACACCGAGCAAAAATGAAATATGCATTGAACCTCACCCTCTAAAACCATCTTTTCTCTTGCCCAAACAATGAGTCATCCTGTGGATACACCTATTAAAAATTTAGACAACCTTATTATTCATGGGGCATAAAAAACAAACAACACTCAATAAAACTCCAGCACCCTAATTTCCTAAAGTAAATGATGAAACTTTTTAATGCATCTTTTGCAGAACCAAGCTAATCGTGCAGATGAAGTAAGAGCTATCATACTGCAGCAGACACCAGAGAAGCACCACGGTTGGAAGGGTGGTTATTACTGGTGAACGTAGCTGGATTAAGTCAGGGGCTCCTCCTTTCCTTTTAATGCGTCTTTGGGTACCGTATATGTGGTATCTTGCTATAGAGATACTGGAGAATTCAATGAGGTCATATATATGACACATGCTTACTCATCACAGTACCTAGCATATCATGCCCCATAAGTGCTACATTCAAATATACTCAAGATTCACTCAGGTATATAATCTATCATTCTAAGACACTGAATGAGCAAAGACGGGCAATCTTCCCCAGCTTCTTGTCACTTAAGAACTGTGGTGCCTACCAAAGATCTCACCGCCATCAGGTGCATTCTAAATCACAGGGCCCGAAAGGACATAGTAGAACTGCACCTTTGGGTTTCTCAGGCTGTAACTCTTCATGAGAAGGAGCAGAAACTAGGTCCAGAGCCTTGTGTCCACAGCTGGAACACAGCAGGAGAAGACTACAACAATGTGTATATTGCACAAATAAGAATGATTAAGAAGGGCAATTAGTCAAAATTGTCAACTGCTGCAAAGAAAACACTATAGGTGTAGCTACTCTATGATGATAAAAGTGCTATTTTTTAATCCATTGAAATTTCTTCCAGAGAAGATGACCCAAGTTAATTCAACTTCTTCAAACAGTAAACCTTTGCACCAAGGGGAAACCGAAA